CCCAAAATACTACTTACGCACATACGCCTTTCCATGCCCTCACCTTCAGGTCCATGTGTCTCAGGGACATCAATCCTGACTCGGTAAACCTTCCGGTCCTACCTGCGTCAACCTTACAGTCCACATCACAATGCCTTCCGGCCCATATCATATATGCCTTCCAGCCCATATCAAACATAGCATACATAGCACATACAAATGATTAACTTATCATATAAAGTGCATACAACTCATAACATATCCGACCTTCCGGTCACACAATAAAAACCATTTTGTGTACAGTATAGAGAGAAAACTCGCGTCGTGGAAAGTCTAGAATCTCGCGAACTCGCTATCACCAAATCCCAATGAAGACTCAACCTCGCCTAATCATAACGAATATTATTTTAATTAATATATACTTCCACAACTAGACTTTACCCCTTATCATCATTCCTCAGAGGGTAAAAGACCATTTTACCCTTCCTTGACTCAAAGTCCACATGTTGACCAAAACCCTAAAAGTCAACAAAAGTCCACCTTCCAGTACGTGGGGCGTACAGCTTGATGTACGCGGGGCATACATCGTCAACCCACAAGTTGGGGTCTCCACGCAGTACGCTGCGCGTACTGGGAGTTACGCCCGGTGTAATCCATCAGATCTAAACATTTCTGATTTCTGGTCTTAATCGGTTAAGCCATTACTTCAACTTCTAGATTCGACTTTATTTAAGCATCTTTACTCATAAAGTCGAAACCTTTAAGCCTTGGTATGGCTGTAAAGGCTCCTACACTCCTTAACATCTTTCTATTTCAACTGAAGGATGTAGATCTCATGCATGGTTAATCATTCACATCCAAGATTACAGTATTATGAATCTACAACTCAAATAGACCAGAAATATGATGGATCTAAGCTAATGGAGACCATTTGCTCATAAAGTCTCCACCTTTGGGACCAAAACCCTAGAATATGGTCCATAAAGCATACCACAAGAACTACAAGTCAAGATCCGAAGTTTTTACCTTAGAATGAAGCTCCAACCTTTGCTAAGCACGGATCTACACTTGAACACCAACTTCTAGGCTTCAAAATGGAATCCTCTTCTCCTTTGCTACCTTGAAATGACACCACCAAGCTTGGAACACTCACAAATGGGCTAGGAACGAATAAACACTCTCTTAAGTTTTCTTTCTGAGGGATGGTGGCTGAGGAGTCGATCCAACACATTCCTTTTATAGCCAACCCAACAATTTGGGTTTTTTATTCTGGACCGATTACGCCCAGCGTAACCCTGGGTATGCCCAGCGTACCCAAGGGAGAACGCGTATAAACGAAGCATGTGAGTACGCGCAACGTACTCCTTGTACACCCAGCGTACTCGTTCATCATGCAAAACCCTAATTGACATAAATTAAAGATGAAGGGATTAAATAAAAGGGTACCTGGATTTTGGGCTGTTACATCATAACAACCATGAGTTTATGGCCGTAAGCTCCTAAACTTTAGTTTGTTTGGTGTTTTGAAGTCTTACATGTCCCTTAGAAGTATTGCAACTTGATGGCTTAGTCCTTGGAAGAGATTAGGGCAGCTTTCAACTCCTTTGAGGTGTTCACGGCCCTAGAACCAAAACCCTTAGAGATTACGGTCGTAATCTCTCATAGGCATGGTGTTTTTGGTGCTTTCAAGTCCCTAACTTAACTAGCAATGAATCTAGGCTAGTGTGCAAGGCTTATGGAGAGTTTAAAGCACACTTTGGCACTCTTTATTGAGGTTCACGTTCCAAGAACTTCTTGGGCCGTGAAAACCTTACTGTTGGTGGTCTTGGGGTATTTTCTAGTCCTACATACATTAGGGTACAAGTCTAGGCTAGTTTTATTGCAAGAGGAAGGGACTAGGGCACTCTTTTGTCCCTTAAAGAAGGGTATTATGGTCCAAGATGTTCTTGGGTCGTAAACTCTTTGATCTTGTTGTTTTCATATGATTTCTAGGTTATTAGACGCATAACAAGCTCTATAATACACCTTGATGGAAGTACTCACGTTCTGCGACAAAAGGTCAAAGATCCGTGAGAGAGAATTTGGCTTTGCTCTAATTGGAAATGGAACAAATGAATAAATATGGCTAAGAATCATATATAGACCCCTGGGGTTTTTGGCAAAAAATATTTTATTCAAGGAGTGACTTAGTCCCAGGAGCTACCCCAGTAGCCAAGTCGCCCTACTGATTAGCACTAGCAGAGATGTTGGAACTATCTGGTCAACTTAACGAACTGCTCAACAAGGGCTTTATAAGACCAAGTTTCTCGCCTTGGGGAGCACCGGTCTTGCTCGTTAAGAAGAAATACAGATCATTCCGTATGTATATCAACTACAGAGAACTCAACAAACTAACGGTGAAAAATCGTTACCCTCTGCCTCGCATAGACGATTTATTTGACCAACTACAAGGGGCGAACTACTTTTCCAAAATTGATCTAAGATCCGGATATCACCAGTTATGAGTGCTAGAGGAGGATGTTCCGAACACAGCCTTCCGAACTCGTTACGAACACTACAAGTTCGTGGTGATGCCATTCGGATTGATCAATGCGCCCGCAGTTTTCATGGATCTGATGAATAGAGTATGCCGACCTTACTTTGATCAGTTTGTCATTGTCTTCATAGATGACATCTTGATCTACTCCCGAAGTAAAGAAGAGCATGACGATCACCTACGACAAGTTCTAGGAACTTTACAAATGGAGAAACTCTATGTAAAGTTCTCTAAATGTGAATTTCGGATCCGAAGAGTCGAATTCTTAGGACACGTGGTAAGCAAAGAAGGAATCCACATGGACCCATCCAAAATTAAGGCCATTGAGAACTGGTCAGCACCCAAGATGCCTACAGAAATTCGTCAATTTCTAGGTCTCGCTGGCTACTACCGTAGGTTCATACAGAACTTCTCCCAAATTGTGAAACCTCTTACAACATTGACCCAGAAAGATGTAGCCTTTGACTGGGAAGAGAAATAGGAGATAGTGTTCTAAACGCTAAAACGAGCCTTGTGCACCGCACCAGTACTATCCCTCCCCGAAGGGATAGAAGACTTTGTAGTCTATTGCGATGAATCGAACCAAGGGCTTGGGTGTGTTCAGATGCAGCGAGGTAAGGTCATCGCCTATGCCTTGACACAGTTGAAGACACATGAGGTCAACTACACGACCCACGATCTTGAACTAGGAGCAGTTGTGTTTGCTCTGAAGATCTGGAGACATTACTTGTACGGACCGAAAACCACTATCTTTACAGACCACAAGATTTTATAACACATATTCGATCAGAAGGAGCTCAACATGAGACAACGACGCACTACAAGAAAAAGAACCTTTTACGACGCGCAAACCACGACACTCATTGATCTATGTTACGCAAAAGAGAGTGACATTAGAAAGGTGTCGTGTCTTCAAAAAATTTAAGGATTTAGGTCACGCATTATCACGTGCCCTTAAATTCGTGTCTCATGTAAAAAATTAAAAACATGGAGGGCACTTTATCTAGAATGAACGTCCTTTGTGAGTGTCGCTTTATATTTTTACACAAAACGCGCATTTCTAAAAAATTTTAATAGCCCGCTTTAAACCCCCCTTCATTCTCTTCTTGCCTTCTATCTACAAACCCTAATCACAATACCATCTCTGCTATACACCTCGACAACTCATATAATCGTTCTCTAATTTATTTTCTTAAAAACTTGCATTCTCTCTCTCTCTCTCTCTCTCTTATTTTCACTTCCCTCTCTCGCATTTTCCTACTGGTGCTGCCCTATTTCCTCGTCCTCAAGCCCTATCCACTCATCAATTCTTCTTCCGATGACTTTATTTGCCACACCAGCAGCTCTCACAACTACACCATCATCGAATGATCTCTATCAACCAACAAAACCTTAACATTCAAGTCTAACTTCACAAGAACCATTGGCCATATGCCTCATCTTCAACGGAACCATTATCTACTCATCGTCGCCCACCCTGTCTCTAACTTCAACACCAAGAACCTCCGTTTGGTAATCTAATATCCTCCTCTTTCCCTATATTTGAAGATAAACAAACCCTAATTTTCTTTGTTTAAAATCTTTGTTACTGAAACAGTCTACTTGATTTGAGAGAATTATTGCATAAATAACCACCATCGGAACCTCTTCACTTGTCACCGGAATCCTACCTGCCACCGTTGTCCCTTCCTTCGACCATAGTAAGTCCATCATTAACCAAGAGCACCCTATGTTGGTAAGTCTTCGATCTCTTCACAATTTATTTGATTTTCGTTTTTGATTTTATATATGTATATGTTAATTTCTAGACAGTAATAAGTTAGCTTGATCACAGTCTAGTATGAAGATGAAACTTACATCACCTGTAGGGTATAATTTATTGAATCTGATAGGTCCTCAAGACATGGAATGTCTAAAATTAGAGGAGAGTTTATGGCTGGTGTTCTACAACATCTTCCTCCTATTCTAGCTTTTACAGCTCCAATCCCAAACAGGTAATAAGTTTTATTTTTTTACTATTGTTGATAATATGAAGAGTGTGTAAGAACATTAGGGCCTCTGCAAATATTTCTGGATTGTAAATTGTATTTTGTCTTGAATCGATGATCTTCGCACACATCTCTCTCTCCCTAATCCTATTGGAAACTGGACAAGGCTCATAAGACTGTGAGTATATTATTTGTTTTTCTTGTTCCTAGTTTTATAAATCTTTTCCATTTTCCAAATATTTCTGGTTGTTCATTTTATTTATTTATTTATTTTCATTTTTAGCATTTGCAAGTTGGTAGGCTTAATGAGTTAAGCACTTAACCTAGACATGTATTTATGGTTGTTGTTTTTGCTTAATCTAGACATAATGACTTAATAGCTTAATCTAGTTTAATGTATTAATATACTAACTTCTTTTTTCCTCAAAACTCCTATCACCTTGAAAATTGATGAATGTTGTGAAATTTGATTTTCTTTCTTTGAATGTAAGGGTAAAATGGTCATTCAGTCTACAAAAGGAATCACGGTTGATGTACACAACAGTTTATCCATATAGATGTTGTTATCCATTCAGCCATTTTAACAATATAGTTGTTGATTCAACATTGCTGGGAAGGAAATTTTGGAGAAGGCAGATCTTGAAGTGGCTTTGAAGGGTCTAAAAGACAGGCTTATAACCAAGAATGTGGTATGCTGAAAATTTTTCATTCTCAATATAAAGTTTCTTGGATAAAGTATGAAGTAGTTAGTTAAATATGACAAATGTACCCTTTTGGAACAGGATGAAGAGATTGCTGAGAAAATTTGCAAGTCTCTAGTAGTAAGCCTGGTGTACAAAAAACTTCCTTCTTTTACTAGGGAATCATCAACAGTTCAGGCGAGTCAACTCTGTCCTTTGTTGTCGTTTTATGATTACTTGATTTGTAAAATATGAGAGTGATATTGAGTGTAGTGCAGGGTGCAGGGTGAAATGTGAAAATTGAAATTGACCTTTCTTTTCTAAACATCAAATTAGTTGATTTTCAATTCGATTCCCCAATCTTTATACTTCATTCTCAATTTTGTAGCTTTTTAAGACATCTTGTTATTTATGTTCCTTAATAGATTTTCATGTTTCATTAAAGTTAATTTTTTGCCATTTGATTTATAAGTACTTGATGTTTTTGCTAAAGTTCTTTTATAATTTGATTAACTATATAAATGTCGATCAATCTTATCAACCCCCCCTCCCCCTTCCTTTGTGTATCTGGTAAAAATATTTTTTTTGTTGTTTGAAATTTGAAATCTCCAAATAACCTAAAATAAAATTGTTTATTTTCTGGTGCAGTATATGTGGTAAGGTTTGCACCAGGTACGGATTTTAGTGATGGCGGATTCAACTTGCAGCGGACTTACGACTTGGAATCGAGCAAGATTATATCCAAAATAACAGTCCAAATGGTCAGATATTATCTATACAACATGGTAATGGGTTTTTTTCTTCTTATTATTTTGACTTCATTTTTGTTTTTAATTATTTCATTATATGGGTTTAATCTTTACAGATTTTGTCCCATTGAATATACTGAATACAATTCCAGATTTTCAAAAATTGTCATGCATGAATGGTTTGTTGAAAAATATTTAATATAACATAGTGATATAAATTTGATATTGTTTAATCATAACATCACTAATAATGCATATCTAGATACCAAACCACTGATGAGTCATTGAAGGCATCCAAGGAGTTAACCAATGGATGGAAACATGATGTAGACAACACAATCGTGGCGAAGGCCAGCTAGCTTGAAAACATGAAAGTTCTCAAATGGTATGTGAAACTCAATCCAGATTTCCAACCTCGTGGTTTTGTTTTTGGTTTCTTTTTTTCTTTCTATGTTTGTTATAGTTTTAAATTTTTTTACATCAAACAGCTTGAACTTCAACTACATAGTAAATAAATTACTATTGTTTAATTTATTTTCTTATTATTTTTCAGTTGAAGTTATCTTTAATTACTTGATGTTTTGCTCAAATTTTGTCAAACAAACAAGGGTGTGAATCAATATTTATGCTTACTACACATCAATCCTCACACTTATGAAGTAGGTTTAATATTTTTTGTGTTTCCTATCATTATTAAAGGTTATTTAAAACATTTGTCCACCAACCAAATATTAAATTTAAAATAAGGCTTTCTGTCAATGTTTGCATCTTTCTTTGGAAAAACATTATGTATTAGCTCTTTAGCACACTCTCGATCATTTAACAAGAGTATAAATTAACTTAAACTTTATGTGTATAACCTCTATTTCTTTCTATTTTCCCATCCACTGTTCTTCTGGATAAAAAAAAATAGTTGGAAAATGGAGGGAAAAAATAAATGAGGGCAAACTTGTAAAATGTTATACGTAATGGGAAATCCATGACTTTCATTATGAAGTCCTTAATTTTTAATCAATTTATAAGGTCTGTTTAATTTATGGATTGAATAAACCGTTGTGATAGTAAGTTGTATTAACTCCTAATTAAGTTAACAAGACTCCATTTACGTTGAATATTGAGTATGATCCTCCTGTTGGAGTAATTTAGAATAAGGGGAAGGGGCATTTTCGGAAGTTTTTTTTATTCAGTAGTTTTTATTCCAATATTTTAGTTTGATTCAATTTCTTTTTATGTTAGTATAAATTAGAAGATGCGTTGTTTTGTAATTTAGTTCCAGAACTAGTTTCTCCACCTAATAAAGCTAAGGCTCCAATCAATCTTGTTATCCCCTGTTTTCATGTTTTTCTTCTATGTCCATGTTTTGATCTGTTGGTTCACATCTGCGCTAACAACTTCTATATTATCTATTCCTCTTTAAGAAATCATTTCGTTGGTTTGTATCAAGTGTAAAATTATCTTAAAGAGTTCATTACATATGGTTAACTTCATCCTTTTTTTCTTTGAACTAATATGTTCGCCATGTATAAAGTACAGTAGGGAAGTTAGCAGGCACCTTGAATTAATGTTCAAATTCACTGCATGATAGTCTATGTAAGAATACAAAGTTAGTTATTTGCTCATATTACTTGACAATTAAAAGAAAATATGACTAAATACTCGTTCGTGGACTAATTAATATATCATGTTGTAAAGTAATATTGTTGTGATTAAATAGATATTAGACAACAACACATTTTAATACTTAAATCCTTTATGTTTTCTAACAAGATCTTGATGCATCAAACTTGAGGCCGTATCTGTAGTTGAAATCAAAATCAAAGTCCCTAACAATAAGAAAGTGTAATATTGTATGTATTTTTGGCTTTACATGAGATTTTTTTTATACCAGGCATGGCCATTAGCTCCAACAAGTGATTTCAATCATTATATATGTTTGTTAGATAATATTAAGCACAACTATTCTAAACTATAGTGTTGAATTATATTGTCCATGCCTAGGGAAGAAGTAGGAATGTATTGGGGCTATAAAGTCATATATGCTCCCAATTTCAGTTCAATAATTAAACACTGCCCATATAAGGTAACAAAGGGCAACACATTCGTATCTATTTCTGGATTAATTCCATAATCCATAAATAGGAATAAGTGTGTTGCGATTTTGAAATTTAGTTAGCAGCAATAAAATGTATCTTATTGTTTGCATTTTTTAGCAGGAAATTACGTCATTAATTATGTTTTCCTTTTCTACTTTTTTCCTCTTCTGATTGCTCTTTTTCATTTTAGCAGGTATTTAGGTCATTAACTTGATATCATATCAGGTATTGGATGAGTTTCAAAAATATACATGGCTAGTTCCTGTAGACCAAAAGGCATTAAGGTTCACTGGAACTACATTAACCATAACTTCTCATTTGTTAGGGAGTATGTGTTCCTGGTTCAGGGGCTAGAGTAATGGTAGTTTTGGGTGGGCCCACAACTAAAGGTCCAAGTTTGTGATTCAATATCCTTTAGTTTTTGATAAACAATTCCAACCATTGTATTCTTAGTTATTAGCATTGAATGTAAGTCATTCCCATTCTCTTTTCATGATCAAAAGACATTATCACCCCTGTTTATGCAGACACATCGGAAAACATAGGCATGGTGTAGCCAGAGAGGTAATGTGGCCAGAAGCTTTACATTTTGTCAACTTGATGCATCTAAGTAGAACTTCATGATTGCTGATTTGTTAAGAGAATGGTGGATTTGGAACTGTTTACAAGGATCAGTTAGATTCAGAGAAGATAAAATATTCAAAACGGTGTCTTTCATATATTCCATGGGTCGTACACTTGCTACAATTAATGTACTCTTACACAAAAGTTTGAACAATTAGTAAAAGGAAACTTATGTTCCTTTTTTATTTTTCCTTGTTGACAAAATATCTAAATTGTTAAATTCTTGAAGTCACAAATTGTATAAAGTTTGGCGCAATATAGTTTCATAATTCGCTATTAGGGTTGTCAATTTGTGCTTGTTTCCTAGCACTAATTGACAAAATATCTAAATTGTTAATTTACTAATTAGGACACCATAGATTGATATATCAAAACTTGAGAATCTTTTCTCAGCTGCAATTCCCCCTGACAAGAATGTTGCAAAATCAAAATCTGCTCCAATTGCTAATAAACCAGAAAAAGTTCAACTGGTAATATATAGTAATATACTATCTGTCATAGTTTAATGTATATTTTTTATATATAATTTTGACTTTTTTGACCTTGTTACAGATTAATCATAGGCGAGCATACAACTGTGAGATCATGCTTTCAAAGGTGAATATACCTTTGCATGAACTAATGGTAAGCTGGCCAAAGTTGTTAAAATATTTTTGTATGTTAGTTTATATAATTCATAATAATAAAAATGGCAGGATTATATTAGCATATTAATTTTTTGATAAGTCGTCAGCATAGGTATTAGCCATTCAAACCATTAGGACCCTTTCCAGATGTTCACTTTTCCCTCATTTGAGGAGATAAGTTTGTTATTATTATTTTTTTCTTTTTTCCTTTCTGAGTGTGGATATGGAAACTTCATGCACAATTTTATTATAACTATTTTCCAGGTCATATGAATGATTAAATGTCGACACTCGACATGCACCTGAATTCTAAATTTTGTGGTGCTTGTAGAGTGTCACGTATTGATTGATTAATGGTTTGGTTGAGCACAAGTCACATGATACTTCATGAATAGTTTGGATAATATTAAATTGTTAATGGTTCAGTTTAGAATTCAAGCGATGTCTAATGTTTAATGATTAATTTCACAGGTGATGACCTTACACGTTACAATGCAAATATTGAAGGTGAATCAGGGTCACGCTCTAAGCAATTGAGAAAGCTACTTCTATTCTCTAGGAACGTTTAATGATCAATTTCACCTGGTTGCCAAGGCTGCTAGGTGAAATTGATGTTAACTCTTTTTATCTTGGATTACTTGACTATTATTATAGCAACCAAATGTCTCATTTTCATTAATTTGGCTAAAAAACTATTTCCATTGCCTATTAAGTCAATAAATTAACATTTTATGTTAAATATGTCACCATGCTTACAGTTTTTTCTGACTTCCATTTTTTTTATAACATAATAAAACCTCACTCGCTGATGTCATCTTTTCTGACTTCCATTTTTTTATATAATTTTTATTTGGGTCAGGAGGAGGCTGTTGTTGACAAAGCACCACAATCTGAAAGAGGCATCAAGTCACGTGCAATTCTTGGTAGACAGGTCAAAGGAATTGTCACAGAGCAGGTTGTTATAATGCTTCACATGTTCAAAATAGCAATTTACTTTCTTTATTTTGTTTATCGTAACATTATACTAAAATTCTTTCTAGGGTATTCTGCTCATTTACATTACAAATTTGCTGCTTTAGTTCAACATCCAGATAGAGGTCAAGTCACTAAGTTTCTTGCTTGTTGACTATTTGTTGACTTTTTTAAAAGATTTTTATTTTCCAGTTATGATTTCAACAGATTATTGAAGTTGAATCGGGTCTCGGTCCATATAAGATTGAATATGATGAAGAGTGGCTAGCAATCACCCGTAGAAAGGTATTGGTACATCCAATATTGAAATGAACAATTTACCCTCGACATTTTCCTTCATAGTAAATCCTCCCCTGAATACTAAATCCATACCATACGTGTAGTATGTAAACTATTTATTAACAAATTAATAAATCAATATGAAAACCACTCAGCAAATATAAGTAAAATGTTGGTTGATATTTTTTTATTTTTTTCTTGTTTCCAGGGAGTGGGTTAGCTGGAATAAGGTAAAGGGAGTGGGTTGGCCTTTTGTTTTTTTGTTAAATGATAATCGTTACTGAAAGGAAGAAAAATCAAAATTTAATTTTGATTTATTTGATGTCTCGTGTCTTGCAGGTTCATGGTGGTCAGCAGTCCATGTGAGTTTCTTGATTTGTAACATCTTATATTCAAGAAATAGCAATGTACTTTCCATAAAAAAAATTATGAATTATATTCTTTGAAAAAATTGCTAGATAGGTAGGTTTAAAAGTAGAATGTCCTAATAAGAAATAATTTTAAAATTAGAATGAAAATGATAAGTGATTTTGTGTTGTGTTTACAGGGTTGATGAAAGCGAATACCTTTGGAGTTAGAAGAGGAAAAGTAAGCTCAAGCTGAAAGAGATAAGATACTACAAATGGAAGTGTTCCATTCTTCATTTCAATTGTTAGTATGAAACACAGAGTAGATTAGATGAATGCAAATTTATATATTGTAAGAAATAGAATTGTATGACATTAAATTTTATGCAATGGATTGTATTTTTTATATGGTATTTTATTTGTATTATGAAACAGTAAATGCAAATTTAATTTAAAAATTAATAAATATATAAATAGATTTTTATTAGCATTTAAATTTACGATACGCAAAAATGTGTGTCATCTTCATTTATGACATGGCCTTTCTTGACAGGGGTTTTAATGATACGCATTGCGTGTCATTAACACGCACGTCGTAGTGTTATGACATGCGAATGCGTGTCATCTTCCTTTATGACAGGGCCTTCCTTGATACGCATTGCGTGTCGTAAACGCGCGTCGTAATTGTGCATCGTAAATGAGCGTCGTAAATGCGCGTCGTCTATAGACGACGCGCAAAAGAGCGCGTCTCTCTTTATGACAGGGCCTTCCTTGATGCGCATTTGCGCGTCGTCTGAGCCTTTTACGACGCGCAATGAGCGTCGTAAAAGGCTGTTTTTCTAGTAGTGACGGTGGGTTGAGCTACTCAGTGACTACGAATGTGAAATTCTTTATCATCCGGGTAAAGACAATGTAGTAGCTGACGCCCTAAGTCGGAAAGAATATTCTGGTTGTAGAATCAAATCCTTAACTATGACTATCCATTCATATTTGTCCACATAGATTAAGGATGCGCAGCTCGACGCTTTGCAACCTGAAAATGTGGCAGGTGAATCCCTGATAGGAATGGATAAGAACTTAGAGGTTAAGGGTGGCGGAGCTTATTATTTCATGGACTGGATCTGGACACCGAAACACGGTAGTTTCCGAGACTTGGTCATGACCGAGGCACACAACACTCGGTATTCCGTCCAACCAGGTTCATATAGGATGTATCTGGATCTCAAAAAGGTATATTGGTGGCCTAATAAGAAAGCAGAGATTGCTACCTTCGTAAGTAAATGCCTTACTTGCGCAAATGTTAAGGTCGAGTACCAGAAGCCCTCCGGTTTACTACAACAACCAGAAATTCCATAATAGAAGTGGGAGCGGATCACTATGGATTTCATAACCAAGTTGCCCAAGACAACGGGTGGACTTGATACCATATGGGTCATCGTCGATATATTGACCAAGTCTGCACACTTCCTACCTATCAAAGAAACTAACAAGATGGAGAAACTTACAAGAACTTACATTAGGGAGATTGTAAGACTGCACGGTGTTCCCTTATCTATTATCTCAGACAGATATAGTAGATTCACTTCAAGGTTTTGGCAGTCGTTACAAAGTTCCCTAGGAACTAGGTTGGACATGAGTATGGCCTACCATCCACAGACCGACGGGAAAAAGTGAGAGGACCATCCAAACATTGGAAGATATGTTGAGAGCCTGTGTGATTGACTTTGGAAAGGCATAAGATACTCATTTACCCCATATCAAGTTTTCCTACAATAACAATTATCACACGAGCATCAAGGCTGCTCCATTCGAAGCTCTCTATGGTCGAAAGTGTAGATCCCCTCTGTGATGGGCTGAAGTGGGCGATACCGAATTAGCTACGGGGCAAGTTTCTGACAGTACTCTCACTGGCTCGGAAATCATTCAGGAAGTGACAGAGAAGATCGTTCAGATCGTGAACGATTGAAAGCCTCTAGAGACCGATAGAAGGGCTACGCTGATAAACGAAGGAAACCTTTGGAATTCCAGGTGGGTGAGCGAGTCCTTCTCAAAGTCTCCAGTTGGATGGGCTTAATACACTTCGGTAAGGGTGGAAAGCTTAATCCAAGATATATAAGGCCTTTCGAGATTCTCGCAAGAATCGACCCTATAGCATACAAACTCAAACTACCCGAAGAACTTCGTAATGTACATTCTACATTCCACGTCTGTAAGTTGAAAAAGTGTCTGTCAGATGAGACTCTTGTAATCCTACTCGACGAGATCGAGATCAATGAGAGCCTCAATTTCATGGAAGAACCAGTAGAGGTCATGGACCGAGAAGTCAAGCAGACAAACCAAAGCCATATCCCGATTGTGAAGGTTCATTGGAACGCCAAGCGAGGGCTGGAATTCACTTGGGAGCGTGAGGATCAGATGAAACTGAAATTCCCTCATCTCTTTGATTAGTTATTTGTAACTACTTTGTTTATTTAGACTTTAATATCGAGATGAAATTCCCTTAACAGGGGGATGATGTGACAACCCGAAATTTCCATTCGGTCAAACCATAAAAGTCAACCACTTCGTATCATAAGTTAATCTAATTATTTCTTATTTTTATGAAATGTAAAGTTCGTTTGATTATTTTAATATTATTTTTAAACGAATGGGTGAAAGAAAGTGTCGTCTAGGGTTTTAAATTTTTAAAAACGCAAACACTTCGCATCTTAGAAACACCCGACCAAACTTTTATATTTTGGTTGAAAATTTGCCCAATAACCGTGAACTCATACCTATGTATGATTTTACTCCCCAACAAGCTAGTCGTTTGTGTTTACTCCCCAAATGTCAAAAGAGTAAAATCCAAAAACTCTCTCAAGTATCATCCTAGATTTAACTCCAAATCTTCAAAGTTGTAAGTGTTCTAACCATTTCAAGTTATTAAAACACTTAATCTAGTGTTTGTACATCTAGTCATCCATTCATATTTGTATTTTGACTAGATTTCCAAAACACCAAGAACACACACTAAGTGTTCTTGGACTTTTAGCTCAAATCAAACCTTCTAATAGTAAGTGCTTCCATCCTTGAGGATTGTAAGCTAGTATTTCATTCGTACATCAAGAAAATGGTTCAAGAACACATTGTTAAAGGTGTTCACAGTTCAAGAATGTTCTTGGGCCGTAAACACCGTAAATGGCACCAAAGTGTGACTAAGTCCCTTGTTTAGCCCTAGTTTAATGTATAAGCCTTCCATGAATTTAGTTAACCTTCATTTCATGTATCTAAGCCTTGAAAAACACAAAAATCCAACATTTATAGGTGTTTATGGTTTGGGGATCTCCCAAAACCGTAAACACCCTAAAGTGTGTCTAAATGGGTTATTTTCCATTCTTAGGCTTAGAAACTAGCACATACACTTACCTAATTGTGTTACGGACTTGAAAACATGGCTATACACTCCTCCATATGGGTTTACGGTTTTAAACCCAAAGGAAAATACCATGAGGCCGTAAACTCCTCAAAGGAGGTGTTTTGTTGCCCTAGTCCACTCGAAAGGCCAAACCACTTAGTAGAAATGCTTCAAGGGACATGTTAAACCACAAAACAACACTTGGTCATTGGGACTACAGTTTACTGTCGTAAACTCTAGAGTTTACTGCCGTAAACTCCTTGAGTTATGACCATCAAAACCGTAAACTCCAAGGGAGTTTACCCTTGGACTCCAAACACACTACTTTTTCCCTACCAACACTCGGATGCAATCCTTGTGATCTTTAACACTTGAAAAAAAGTGTTTTCATGTTCTAGGGTGTCCCAACTTAATTTATTACTTATAAATTAGCTAATTAGTTATATATATATATATATATATATATATATATATATGTTCATTATATGATAACTAGGCTAGTGCGTGTGTACAAGTCTTCATTTGTCACGTAGCACCGTACCCGACACTTCAATCCAATCCACTCACCACAAGTGAGTTCATACCCCTTTAACTAACCTTTGAAATACTTTTAAATGTTTAAAATGCTTTATGGGCGGGGGGAATACAAGTTGAATCCTTATAGTTATTACATCAATCACATGAGATTAATGACTACAAAACCAATGATTTTACCACTATTCAAACTGTTTATCAAAGCTGTTTTACTTCAAACTGTTTTACAAACTCTATTACTTATCAAATACTTTTACTTAGACTTTGTAATACTTATTATAAATTGCATGCTCGTATATGTATAGTTATATAATAAATGTTTACAAGGCTTAGGAAGGCCGCACACCCTATTTCCTTTTCCTCGATTTGGATGTGGTCTGGTGGGATATCGGGTAGCCGTCTGAAGGTCGTTTCAATATTAATTATATATCATGTGTACATATATAGTCATAAAAGTTATTCCATGTTCATGCATACTAGTTACATCATTTGTAAGTTACCATCGGTGTAACACATGATCATACTTATACTATTGTTAGATTAGTGAGTCAGTTCATTCATGAGTCAATACTTATTACTATGAGAACATATACAACTGTACTAGAAAGAGAACATATACAACTATACTAGAAAGAGAAGATATACAACTATACTAGGAAGAGAACATACACAACTATGCTAGAAAGAGAACATATACAACTATACTAGAAGGAGAACATATACATCTATACTAGAAAGAGAACATATACAACGATACTAGAACGAGTAACATTACATTACATATACATGAATACATTAACCATTGTGATCCATATCGGAGCATGACTTCAATGTCATGGCCCGTGTTGTAGCGACAGTCTCTTGAAGGGAGAGCATGAGTTTGCATATAGATCTATACTGGATTGACTATCCTACACCTTGCTGCTAGCTACAGCCAGACCTACAGGTCTGCGGGTGCCAAACGTAATTTCATTTTACGACCTATACTTGTCGTTGTTTATCCAGTCGATAGTATGGTACAATTAATCACATGATACCTTAATATAAATCCGGTTTAAGGTAGTTAGTACAGCAGTAGTTCATATAATACA